TGTGTGCCCCTCTCTGGGGGCTGTGATGGGGACCCAGACTGCTCTGATGGCAGTGATGAGGAGGAGTGCAGTAAGTGGCCGTCCCTGGAGAGGGGTTTCAGAATGGAAGCTTGAACTGGGGTGTGGGATTATGAAAAGTTAAGGGGGTGGGGATTATGAAAAGGCTGTGGTTATAGGGCTGGGTGAGCGGAGCTGGCAAAGCAGGGCAAGGTGGAGTCTAGGAGTCTAGACTGTTGGGCTTGTCTTTAGTCTCAGCACTCCAGGCAGAGGCAGAGGCAGAGGCAGAGGCAGAGGCAGAGGCAGAGAGGCAGGCAGAGGCAGAGGCAGAGAGGCAGAGAGAGGCAGAGAGAGGCAGAGAGAGGCAGAGATGAGAGGCAGAGGCAGGTAGGTGTCTGTAAGTTTGAGGCCAATTGTTATACAGAGAGTTCCAGGCCATCCAGAGCGACATAGTGAGACCTTGTCTGAAATCAAAAACAAAAAACAAAAGAGCTGGAGTCTAAGGCAGGTGTGTAGGGAAGTTGAGCAAATAAAGGAGGAAACTGTAGGAAGACTAGATGTTGGAAGGTGGGATTGACAAGAGCAACAGGTAGAGACTTTATGTAGGGCAAGCCTTTATACGTAGGGTCTGCTGTTTTTTTGTTTTTTGTTTTAATTTTATTTAGTGTGTGTCTGGGTACGTGTGTGTGCAGGTATGTTTGCCAGCATGTTGTGTGTGCAGGGAGGCTAGAGGTTGGCTTGGGTGTCTTTCTCTGTTGCTGTCCACCTTACTTTTTAAGACCATCTTTCACTAAAATTGGGGTTTCCAGTTTCAGCTAGACTGGATGGCCCAAGAGCACCCCAGGACCAATCTGTCTCTGCACTCTTAACATTGTGACTGGGTTTGTGCAGTGCTGCACCTGGTGTTTCCATGGATACTGGGGCTCAAACTCAGTCCACATGCTTGTGCCACAAGCATTTACTCACTGAGTTATGTACTCCTCCCTGGGGAAACTTTATTTTATGTATTCCTGGCTGGCCTGAAATTCTCTATGTAGACCAGGCTGGCTTCAAGCTTACAAGAGATCTACCTGCTCTGCCTTCTGAGTCAGCACTCAGGTAGTGAGATACCACTTCAGGTATCTCAAGTAGTGAGATACCACTTCCAGCCCAACTAGCTGCTTTTAGAAGCTAAGATTTAGAGAGAATTGGGCAACCGAAGTACTGGCTTCCTTTTTTTCTTTTGTGGTTTTCTCTACATAGCCCTGATTGCCTTAGAACTCACTATGTAGACTAGACTGGCCTCAGACTCAGGGACCTACCCTCCTCCCCCTCCTGAGTTTTGAGATTAAAGGTATGCACCACCCTGCCTGTTATACCGGGCTTTCTTGCATGGATGTTTGGAACCTGATTGACCATATGTTTCAGGGATTGAGCGGTGTGCTCAGAAAGGGCAGTGCCAACCACTGGCCACCCTTCCTTGCTCCTGTGACAACATCAGTGGTTGTCCTGATGACGCTGACAACCTTCGCAACTGCAGTCGCCAGCCCTGTCAGGAGGGTGAGCTGCGTTGCATGGTGGGTGATATGTGTATCCCACACACATGGCGCTGTGACGGCCACTCAGACTGTCCTGACTCCAGTGATGAGCTCAGCTGTGGTATGTGCCCTGGGATCTTGGTATACTTGTGTGGGTGGGGAGGGCTGGCAGTTATTGAAGGACATTTGTTAACTTCCCATGTGTAACTAGATTGAGAATGTGAACACATACATCCTCCCAGGCCTTCATCCTTGTGGTGGAGGACAAGACATCATCCACCAGCTCTGTTCAGTATCCACCAGCTCTGTTCAGTCTTAGATCAGGATGAGTTCTAAGAGTTGGCACCTGGAACCCCTATGTACCCCACTGCTAAGCCTCTCAACTACTAATGCCTGGGCTTATTGCAGACACCAACACAGAAACTGACAAGATCTCCCAGGAGGAGAATGCCACAACTACAAAGACTGTGACCCTGGAGAATGAGACCTTTCTCAGGAATGCAACAGTTGCTTCTGCTGGGGACTCTTCCCGAAACCCAAATGCCTATGGGGTTATTGCAGCTGCTGGTAAGATAGGCCTTCCCATGTGAGGAGTTTGGGATGTTTGGAGGGGGCACACAGTAGGGCTGCCAATATATTAGCATTGATAGCTTCTACCTTCCTTGCCCCACTTCTCTGATCATCTGTCTGTCCCCCCCACAGGGGTGTTGAGTGCTATCCTGGTTTCTGCCACCCTCCTCATATTGTTACGACTCCGAAGTCAGGGTTACCTGCCCCCATCAGGGCTGTTGGTGGCTGTGAAGGAGTCTCTGCTGCTGTCAGAAAGGAAAACCTCACTGATCTGAGGACACGTGGTCACCACCTGGCCCCAAGTGCAGTCAGATCGGGGCAAAGCCACAGTGGGACATGTAGGCAGCTGCTGGCTTCTCGAGACCTGGGCTCTTTTTGCCACAGAGAACTTTGATTTTAAGCTCCTCCAGATGTGGTCCTAGAGACTGGGGGTCCTCAGATATTCCCCTTGTCTGTGGGGAGCTTGGATGGAGAACTGCTATAGCCAGGACTGAGGGGCCGGCCCCAGGATGGTTCCAAGAAATGGGGCCACTCTGGCTTAGACACTCCTGCTGCTCACACTGATGGGTGGTGATTAAAGTTTCTTTACCTCCTCTGCCTGCCTTGAGCCTCTGTTTCCCTTGGCCTAGGCAGCCTGGGGTCTCTTCTGGATCCCCTTTCACCCTCTAAGAGGGAGCCTTCAGCCAAGAGAACGTGGGACTGTGTTCTAGACACGACCTCCGCTACCTGCCTCCTGTGGAAAATGGGGCTGGTGTTCAGTCCACCTGTGTTAACAGTGGGCTTAACAGAAGAGGAGAGCTGAGGTGGTGTCTCCTCATTGGGGACTCTTCTGTCAGGACTACTGCTTCTATGACATGGAAGCTGGGCAGTCCTGATTTGAAATTGGCTATTCCCTGTTGTTGCAAGGCCATAATCCCAGCTCTTGGAAAGGGGAGGTAGGAGAATTAGAAGTAATAGGCTTGACGGTACATACCTGTAATCCTAGCACTGGGGAGGTTAAGGCACGAAGATCTGGAGTTCAGGGAATATCTGGGCCGTACACAGAGACCTTGTTTCCTCTCTTCCCCAGTTGTGAGACAGTTGTGTTCTAGGATAGCAGGTTGTTTACTGTCTAGCAGTAAGTTAGCCCTGATAGGGAGGGACTGTCCCCAGGTGATAATTGAGGTCCCAGATGCCTGAGCAGAGTACAAGAAAATGCAGTTAATATACAGCCTGACTTCTGAGTAACAAGGCAAAGCTCTTCTCAGATTATTAGCTGTTAAATTCCTAAGTGAATTGGTGGAGACTGTTGGAGTCCCCCCACCACTGGCAGAGGAGATACCTCTCTGGCATCTTTGGTGGCTCCTATTAACCTTGAGTCTCATGATGAGTTTCAGAGTTCTGAGGCTGTGCAAGCAAGAGGACCTGAGTTCAGATCCCTATGTGGAAAGCTGGATTTGCCTGTGATCTTATTGCTGATGGTGGGTATGAAGGCAAGAGGATCCCAGGCACTTGCTGGCCAGATAGTCTAACCTGAGAGCTTGAGATTCAGTGAGAAACCCTGTCTCAAAAATGGAGGGGCTGGGGATACATCTCAGTGTTTAAAGCACTTGTATAAGCATGGAAGCATAGTTTGGATTCCCGAAACCCATGTAAATGCTGACTGAGTGTGTTGGCCTGCCTGTAATTCTAGCCTCAAGAGGTGGGGGCAGGATCCCCAGAGCAAGATGACTATGAGATCCTGCCTCATTGAATATGTTGGAAGAATAATCCAGGATGATTCCTGTTATCAACCTCAGGTGTCCACATGCAGCTGCATGCATAGATGTGCGTGTGAACTTTCCAATGTGTGCCCATACGCAGACATACATACAAACTTCCCTTGTACAACACGCCTTTTAACCTCAGGCTTCAATATACATGTGCATACATATACACTTGCATATATGTACCTGCACATACAGCTATACACACTGTCTCTGTCTCTGTCTCTCTTGAATTCCCATCCACCCCAATGCACACATAAATCTCCACAAAAAGGATTCCTGGATCTCTGGTGCCTGGTGGGCAGACTACCGATAGAGATACTGGGTGCAGAGGGAGGCAGTGTGTACCAGGAAGACTTCTGAAGGGAGGAACTGCCTTGGCTCTGGGACCCTGCTCCTCTGGTCCCTCATAGGGGAAGGCGGGTAAAGCAGAGTCAGAATTTGGGCAGTGTGTTGGGGTTGGGTGTTTGAAATAGCAGTTGATGCTTCAGCCAGGATGGGCGTGCATTGACTGATGGTAGAGACTGTTGGAGGTAAGTGGGACTCAAGGCCTTCCTTGGCCGTGAAGACTGACACTTGGGCCCCCAGTTTGACCAACAGAGTATTGTAGAGTGAGAGAGCCACAGTAGGCCATTTCCAGCTGGGAGAAAAGCACTTCTGTAACTTCAGCTTTTAGACAGGAATATTTTGAACTTCAGGCCAGTTTGAACCATGTAGTGATATCCTAACATCTATTTGTCTGTCTGTCTTTCTGTCTGTCTGTCTGTCTGTCTGTCTGTCTGTCTATATATCTATCTGAAATTAGAGAGATGAGATGATGATTTTTGCTTTCAGGCTAGTTAGGGGAGAAAGGTTTTCCTTTTACCTTTATTTATGCACTGTGCCTGTCAGCCACGGGCCACAATTGGCCAGGATGGTGTAGTGGTCCATGTTGGATTATAAATTCACCTGTTACCTGTGCATACATCTGGGATCTGGAGTTATCTGGAATGTTTGGGTTCTCATTGGAGCTCAACAGCCCTCCCTGCCTTGGTGGGTCCAAACAACCTGCTATGGTGTTCATATATTTCAGTTGAATAGAGTGTCACTGGTGTTTTCTTTCTAGCCTGGTCCTGTGGCCACTTTAGCCCCAAATGAACAAACAGATTGCTATATTAATTATAAAATTGTTGGCCAATGGCTAGGGCTTCTTACTGGCTAGCTCTGACTTATTAACCCATAACTACTAACCTATATATTTCTACATGATCTTAACATACCAGAAAACACCTGGCGTGTTCTGTCTTCCTGGTCTCCACATATTGTCTCTTGCCGGCACTTCTCTACCTACCTTTCTCAGAATTCTCCCTGTCTCCTAGCCCCACCTATCTTCCTGCCTCTATCGACCAGTGTTTTATCAACCAATAAGAGAAACATATATACAGAAGGACATTCCCCTATCAACCATGTAGTAGAGGCTATCCTCAAACTCCTGACTGATCTGGCTCCATTTCCTCAGTGTTAAGATTACTGCTATACAGGTTCCACCATATCTGGCTCACCATGGCGTTCTGTCTCACTGTGGTTCTGCATTGTGTGGTTGTCCCAGCTAGTTTCAGCTGCCATCCTCTGGGTGTAGGACTGACTTTGTGTCAGTATGTGGGGATATCTTTTATCTGTTTGTGAGAGTTGGGCTCCTTCATGTGCCTATTGAATTTAACTGGCCGTGAAGAAATCGGGGTCCAAGGTGTAAAGCAGAGGTTGCCCAGATTAGGATCTGACACTTGGAAACAGGGTCTCATGTAACCCATGGTGGTCTTGAATTCCCCATGTTCTGAGGATGACTTTGAAATGTTGTTTGTGCTTGCCTCTCTCTCCCCAGTGCTCGGATTATAGGCATGTACCACCATGCCTGGCTTTTATGGGGTGCTGGAGTTGGAACCCAAGGCTTTGTGTATGGCAGGTGTATGCATATAGCCAGCTGTGGTTGCTGCATTTTGTAATCCCAGGTATTACAAGTGGTGAGATTACAAGAGTGAGTTGAGGCAGGGGGATTACCTCAGGTTCTAATACAGATTACACTTTTTTATGCAGCCACTCTATTAACTGAGCTCCATTACTAGCCACATCTTTTTCTTCCTTTACTCTCACTATTGCACTTAGGGGAAAGGGTGGCCTTACTTTGGCAAACAGGAAGGATCCCTAGGCAACTGGAATGCCATTCCCACCCCAGTCATGGACTTGTTCATGGGGTGGGAACCTTCAGGGAAGTTGTGCAGCTCATGTAGAGCTGATGTCGTCTGGGTGGGCACAGGTTTGGGCATATGGTTGGTGAAGGCTCAGTACATTCTAAGTGGTGTCAAGGTAGCTAGGAAGGGGTGCGCTAGGGCCTTGTGTGGGAAGATGGGGAGAGCAGGGGAGGGCAGGGAGGGCTGTTGAGTATCCTTGTCCAATTCTAACCATTTCTTCCTTCTCTTTATTGAAGAGGAAAATTCACAGAACTTAAAATTAACCATTAACCACCTCAAAGCTCACAGTCCATTGGCATTTGACATATTTACGGTGTTGTGTGGTCTAGTTCTGAGAGACTTTCATCACCCCAAAGAAACCCCAATCCCATGGGACTTGGTGGTGCATTTCTGTAATCCCAGCACTGGGGAAGATGAGGCTGGAGAGCCATAAGTTTGAGTTTAGCCTGGGCTATATACACCCTGTTTCCTCAACAATAGCACAGCACTACCACCACCAAAATGTAAGTTAAAAAATCCTGTTCCCATTAGCAGTTTGTCGTCATTCCTCCTGTCCTCCCCCTCTCCCCCCCAAGCAGGAGCTAAACTTTCTGTCCCCATGGGTCTCCCTGATCTGGAATTTCTACACAAAATAGATGTACAAATTGTCTCCTGCCCCACGTGCTTCTCTGCATATACATTTTTTACTTTTATTATGTAGTGTGTGTGTGTGTGTGTGTGTGGTGTGTGTGTGTGTGTGTATGAATGTGTTTGCTTGCATGCCATGGTGGCTGTGTGGAGGTCAAAGGACAACTTGCAAAAATTGTTTCTCCTTTTTTACTATTTGGATCCCAAGAGTCAAATTCAGGTTGTCAGGCTTGGAGGCAAGCACGTTTACCTGATGAAACGTATTTCTGATCTGATGAAACATATTTCTGATCTTATCTTTTTTTTTTTTTGGGTGGGGCAGGATTCTTATCACATGGTGGCTTTGAATCACTGTGTAACTGAGGGTAACTTGACCTCCTAATCCCTCTTGCTAAGGGCATGCAGAACCACATCTGTGTAACATTAATAAATAAATGACCCAGAGCTTGTATTGGGCTTCAAACTTCAAGCTGAATATCAGAAAAGCAAGGCAGCTGGCCACTAGCTTCTTACCTCTACCTCAGGCTGAATGGGCTGATCCGGTCTCCACAAGCTCTCACCAAGCCTTAGACTGTAACCTCTCCTTAGCGTGGCTGGAGAATGAACGCCTCATACTGAGACCTTGCTTTTGTCTTTTATACCTGTCTAGTGTTGGGATTAAAAGTGTGAGCGATAATTCTCTTTTAGACTGATACACTCTTGTGTAGATCTGGGTGGCCTTTGGCTCACAAAGATCTGTCTACCTCTTAATTCTGAGTCCTAGGATTAAAGGTGTGTACCACCATCTCCTAGCATCTGGCTGCTGGGATTAAAGGTGTGTATTATCACTTCCTGATCTCTATAGCTTGAGGCTGACTTTCTTTTAATGAATCATAAATAATATATCACTACACACCTGAAGTGATTTTTTTCTTTTCTTTTCCTTTTTTTGGTTTTTCGAGACTGGGTTTCTCTGTGTAGTTTTGGAGCCTATCCTGGCACTAGCTCTGGAGACC